CCCCCCACCAGTACTCACGGCCCAACAAACACAGCAGACACCCACCGTGCGGCGGTCGGCGCGGACGACTGGAGGTCTCGATATCGGTCCGGTCGTGGGCATGGGGGTTTTGAGTTTCTGGGCGGTTGGCTGGGAGGAACATGAAATTGATATTTCCGTTTCCTCTCCGCTGTTCTCTATCCCTGTCTCGAGGGGCTTTTTTATTCCCATCTTCATTGATTATTCATTTTTTTTTTAAAAACCATTTTTATTACACATAGCACATTACATATATATATATTACCTGCATGCTATCCATGTATGATTTATTACGAGAGGAAAAAAAGAAGAAAGAAAAAAAACCTCCCTCCTCCGAGTACTTTCCGAGAAGAGAAGAGAAGTAAGGTATTATATCGATTCGATGTCGACAATAGTCTTGGTAATAGTTTTATGGGGGAGATACCGGAAGGAATGCGGCACAGAGAGGGGAAGAAACATGGAGTTGCGGGGTGGTGCCGTGGCTAGACAGAGAGAGGGAATGGGTCAAGTCGAGATAGGGAATCGCGGAGTCGTCTTACTCGGGTTCGTTCTCAACTGCCAGCTTGGCATGAATCAGTGCCATGATAAGGTGAGGCGAGCAGGTTCATGTGTGTGTGTGTGTGTGTGTGAGAGTCAGTTTGATTGGTGGGGCTATATACTGGGATGACAGATTGAGAGAGAGAGAGAGAGAGAGAGAGAGAGGAAACGGTGGCGTAACGGTAAGGACACCACGACTCCTCAGGCTCGGGCTCAGCATCAGGCTTCCAAAATGTACGACGGTATTATTGCGTGTAGGCCGTAGGCTGGGTGGCAGGCTTTAGCAGTGCTAATAACGAGTATTACGACTACAGGCAGAACCTGCAGGACCCACTTGAGCCTCCTTGGCCTCCCCCCCCCCCTGGTACTTGAGTGGAGTAGCAGCTAAGAGTTAATCAGGACAGGAACTCCGAGGGTTGGCACTAGGCACAGATGGATGTGGGGGCAGTAGGACACCACCTTTTCTCTTGGGACCTTGTCGTGCTCTCTAGTATCACCTTGCTACCTTTCTAGTCTCTCTCTCCTATTTCTCTCCGTTTCTTCTCTTCTCTTCCTCCTCTCCTTTGGACCTAGGGACTCGACTAGTCGTAACTAATCGTTGACCAACTACTCTATATTACCTATTACTTGGCCCGTAGAGATGCGCGTGGCAAAGGAAAGGTGGGTTTTTCCGGGGGGGGGGGGGAGGGAGAGAGAGAGAGAAGATGTCCATCCTTTTTGTTTTTTATATCTTTGATTTTATCAATACTTTTTGCCTCTTCATCCTTATTTCTAATAGTAAGACACTCGTTCATCTTCACCATCAGCGTCTGATCGTATACACAATGGTCATTGCGCGCAATAAGATGTCGTGTATTCCGGACAACGGATTGTTTCCATTCAATGAGCGAGAATTGACAGAGAGAGAGAGAGAGAGAAGCAGTGGGAGAGAGAGCGGAGAGATAGCATGGAATCACAATCGCGCGCACACCACCTGCAAGACGCGGCATATATGATTGCCGAAACTAACATGTTTCGAGTTTAAGACGGGCCACACGGGCGGCTGCAGCATCTGGTGCGTGTGTGCGTGTGCGTGTGCGCATGTGTGCGTGTCTGCCTGTGCCTGTGCATGTGTTTGGAGTCTACCTGTATGGTGTGGGTGAATGGCTGATTGCGAATGAGCAAGGGTTGATCATGATAGACCAGGAACGATGGGGGCTGCGGTGTCGGATCGACCGGATTCCGACTACCCGTGAGAATATCCGAAAGTGATGATCAAGCCGTGACTGGTCCGTGACCTGTCTGTCCCCTCCCCTCCCCGATGCAGCGGCCTGTCGAAGAGTGTTTTCGCTAGAATGCAGGCCCTTGATCAGAGTGACAGAGAGGAAAGTTGTCTGCGAGCCGTGTCATCTGGCCTAGGACCATGCTGCGTTGTTTTTTTCTTTCTTTCTTTCGTACCTTGGTACTGCAGTCGGCAAGTCGGCAAGATGGGAGGCTCAGCAGAGCGCATCACTTCTCTTCTTTCACGTGCATGTATTCTTGATTCTTGGAGGGGAGTATCTTGGAGGAGGAGGGGAGAATTACTCGTACATAGAATGCTCCGTAGTGTGGCTGATCTCTTCCCCCCCCCCCCCCCCCTCACCTCCTCTATTTCCTTTTTATTTTATTTTATTTTTCTTTAAGCAGATGTTGTGTCTCTCCCTCTCCTTCTCACACAGGCATCCATTACCCTATTACTACGTATACGTAGACAGCCCATTGCGGTGTGCCTGTATTGATCATCAGCATCATTATTACGGAGTATTACCTGTAGTAGCGTGGCAGATCATGGACGCAGACCAGTGGCGGTGACTCGGGGCTGGGGCTGGGCTGAATAGTGGATACATGCACGTACGGTACATACGACTGGAGCTAGAGGGTATCATGGCAGTTCGGCGTCAAGAACCTCGAGAGTGTGCCGGTAGACTGACTCTTAGACTGGAAAAGTGTAGAGACCGTAGCTTGGCAGACTTGGCTTGTTTAGGGGGGAAGGGGAAGACTCGGTCGTAGTCATGACAGGCTCGTTGACACAAACTTGGCAGCAGGTGGCTAGTGCGTCCTATGGAGAGTTTTGGGGAGCTTATGTAGTGGTGAGTGGGTCCGATCTCTTCTTCTTCTTTTTTCTCTTTTTTTTTTAAAAAAAAAAAAAACTTTTTTCTTCTCTACCTAGGTCTTTTTTTGTTTTTTTTACGAGGGCGATACATGGGTATCGGTATATGTGAGTTTGACTTGCGAGTAATAGGTCTGATAGTACGGAGTATAGTCGTATGTAGTAAGATCCTCGTGAGAGCACGAGTTGAAGACGTCGAGAGTCATGGTGCGATCTGCATGTGCCACGTGCACTCAGACTAGATAGAATTCATCACGTTTCTTAGCCGCAAAGGCTCGCAGAGATTGGAATGCAAACTCGGCTTGACCCGTATCATAACGTTTGGGAGCATCTCGTCACTGTGTTGTGTGCAGTCGCTCCGCTCTCTCTCTCTCCATCTCTCTCTATCTACCTCTGGTAAGAATACACTCTGCACCATCAATCACCCCGTCCCACCAATCTTTTCAGGGGTGCATCGCGGTAAGGCAGGTACACTGATAACGGGGTTGAAGAGGCTAATTGACGATGGGCTTCCGCCACAGTACAGAGGGTCGGATGGGACCTATAATAGGGATAGATAAGGACTCGGCTTGGCCAAAAAAAAAAGTCTCTTATTAGGGAGAGAAAGTATATATGTATCGCCACTACTGTTAGAGTACTGCTGGAGCGTCTTCTTCCCTCTCCCCCCCCCCCCCTTCCCTTTCAACCCTAGCTGGCTTATGGAGGGTGTATAATCTGTACCGCGACATTACATAGGATTGACGAGTGTTGACGAGCATCATTCAACAATACGACGCACCCCGTACCATCCGATCGTCAAGGTGCGTAACGGAGCAAGGCGGAAGATTTACAAGAGCAGAAAGAAGAGAAGGCGCAAAAGATGCGATACACTAGGAAAGACTTGAGAGGGGCGACGATCCATATACTGGGGCGCCTCGGGCCTTACTCAGGTAAATGTGTCGTCCTCTCGGACCTTATTCAGGTGAATGTGTGTGTGTGCGCGCGTCTTAGTCGTGAATCTCTTACACGTAACTCGTACCTGCACAGTATCAAGTATTGCAGATTACACGTACTCGTACTTGTACGGCATTACCGTATCTGTAATGACTCATCAGCCACCCGTAGCCACCATCAGCCACCGATAACCTTGTAACGCCATAAGCATATCTGGGACCTCTAAAAGCTCCTGGCACCGTCTGGCACTATGGACGGCGCTTGTGCCTGAGACAGAAGAGTGGCACATGGAAGAGAAGGCGGTGGTGCCGGGTCCCCGCTTAGCTCGTGGCCAGCATCCATTCGAGGGTGCAGATGAGATGGCTCGGAGGAGAACGAAACAAGTTTCAGAGGGGGAAGGAGTAGAGAAACGCACGTTGTTTACGATATAGCTGCTGCTCTGTTCTTCTCTGAAACAGACATGGGTAGAAAGATGTGCATGCTTCAAACGACATCATCTCCCGGCCCATCTGCAAAGCACGCACTTTAAGAGGCAGCTGGGAAATACGAAAAGCACAGACGACAGGCGCAGGAACGAAGCACAGGTCAAGATGGGCATATACATGAGAGAGAGAGAGAGAGAGAGTGTGTGTGTGTGTGTGTGTGTGTGTGTGTGCGTGCAGGTGTGTATGGCTCCGCATCTACTAAACGGAGAATTGGAGCATCATTACGGAGACGATACGTGCACGGCTTCCAAACGCACGGTCCAACCAGTATCACCTTTAGGCACTACCCCTGCACTACTTGGAGAACTACATGTACCATGACGCTTACATGCCCCCCCCCTGCCAAGCCGGCTCTCGAGCGACAGGGGTCAAAGACACACAGGGTGGGGAGGGGTGGGAGGATATGGGATCGTCAGCAATTGGCGAATCCTGGGAAAAGAAGCTGCAAGCCTCCAGCCACCGTTCAGTGGGGGGCACAGTCTCTCTCTCTCTCTCTCTTTTTCTGTCATCCCTCTCGCTCTCTCCTTCTCCAGGGAGTGATACTCTGTATAAAAAAATTAATAAATAAAAAAGCATTGACTCCGTACTTACAGGTCATTACAGGCCACAGCATACAAGCATAGGCTACGAGTCAGGACGACGACTTCATGACTACTGCGAACAAAGTCTACTACAGGTGCATCTCCATTCATCTCCCCATCTCTCCTTTTCCCACACTGTTTATTTGTTTTGTTTCTGTTTTCTTGTTCGTCCTCTCCATCTCCCTCTCTCTTCTCCTTCTTGGGTACTAGCATCGTACCGTAGCGTACCATTACTAGAACCTCCTTCTTCGGGCCTTCCCAACAAGTAAAGTACCGCCGCGACAGGACTGCCGATCACCTGTGGAACCACCCAGAACAGGCCTGAGAAGCAAGCTCAGGGTACGTACCGCTACTACCACCACTACCACTACTACCACTACTACCACTACTGCTACTACTAGCAGCAACTACCCCCGTAGTACCTGCCTACTACTGTAATCTGCTGTAATCTGTAGTAATCCGCCAGATTCAGCACACCCACATCGGACGACACCGCAAACTGGATTACCGTGTGGCCGTATCATGAATTGTTATACAGGCCCCGTATCATACGGGGAAAAAAAGAAAAAAAAAAAAAAACTGTGCAAGCAGCACAATGACTACATCGTCCCATCATCCATCCGCGCCGCACGCCATAGCACGCAAAAATGAACAGGGAAGAATGGGAAAGAAGGAGAGAAGACGAAAAAAAAAAAAGGCTCAGCGCTTCGGAACCATGACACCGTACCTGTTCTCATTTCTTTTTTTTTCTTTGTTCATACCCGTTCATTCTACTCATCATGTTCCGTAGTAGTCTTTGACGCCAGAAAATGCTCTTTTCCACATATATACAGATTACATATGAGAGCAGTCAGTCCTAGCTGCCTGTATAGACCAGACGTATATTAGATGCCTTCTCTCCTCCTCGCCTCAAATCCACCCTCCTCTCTTCCTTCCTCACACAGCCGCCTCTCGACTCAACCTCGACACGCAATCTCCACTCTCGCTCCAGCACCCAGCTCCGACTCTCTCTCTCTCTCGCTCTCTCTCTCTCTCGCTCTCTCTCTAGCTTCTGTCGATCTGACATCTCTCTTCCTCTCACGGTCCACACCACCCTGTCAACCTGAAAGGCTCCACGGTACGTATCCTCCTGCTGGCGAGCAAGATAACGGGTCGTTACACTACATGTACGTAGCAGCGTCCCCTAGTCTCCCGATCCACTGCTACTTTGTCCTCTTTCCTTTCCCTCTCTCTATCTCGCCCACACCTACCCACCCCTGTCCTTGCCGCAAGAACTTCAACGACGGACATGCTACGAGTGCGCGGTAGACATCTCCAAAGGACCCGGTTGACCTGACCTGCCCTTTCCCTCTTTCTCTCACCTTGTTACCCACACCCACACCCACTCTCTTAGTAGCCCTGTCCTACACCCCCCCCCCCTCCCTCTCTCGCCCCTCTCTCCTAACTCATGATTCACTCCCACCTTCTTACACACACCCTTCCTCTCTCTCTCTCTCTCTCTCCCCCCCTGCCAAGTCTTCTTCTCCTTCTCTTGCTACTCCTTATCCCGTTCCTGTCAACTCTCAAAACATATATATATATATACATATACATACATACATATATATATATTGACGACAGACAGAGTCCCTTCGTTCAAGACAGCTCACTTACACAACGGTATCAGACCCAACGACAAACCCGTCATCATGAAGTTCTCCGCTGCCATTGTCGGCCTCGCCGTCGCCGCTCCCATGGCCTCTGCCATTCCCTTCCGCATCGCCGACTTTATCGCCCCCATGGCTCGTGGTATGGCTTTCTCTCCCCTCCCCATCCCCTCATCTCATAAAAAAAAATGGAAATAAAAAATAGAGGAGATTTTATGCTGACATGAGAGACTGAAGCTCCCGCTCCGGCCGCCGCTCCGGCCGCCGCCGCCCCCGAGCACCTCCCTCTCCCTCCTCTCCCGCCCCTGCCCATCAACCTCACCCACCCGGCTCCGGAGAAGCGCCATGACCACCGGAAGCCCGAGTTCCCCTTCCCTCCTCCTCCCCCCGGCCTGAACTTCACCCAACCTCCCCCCTTCGCCAAGCGCTACGACCACGATGACGACCACGACCACGACCACGGCAAGCCCGAGTTCCCCTTCCCTCCTCCCCCTCCCGGCCGCAACTCCACCCAGCCCCCTCCTCCCCCTTCTAAGCGCGGCAAGCTCCCGGAGCACATCGAGGGTCCTCCTCCCTTCCCCACCCCCGAGTTCCCCAACCCCGGAAACGGTACCAGGCTGCCTCCTCCCCCCGCCAAGCGTCACCTGTTTCCCGGAAAGCCTGGCTCTCCCCGCCCCGGAAAGCCCGACTTTCCTCTTCCCAAGTTCCCCATCCCTGGCAACTCCACTCACGGTAAGCTCTCCACCCTTCTCTCCGTTCCCCTCTCCTGAAGGAGTCACCGAGGAACAGTGTATGCTGACATGTGCGGCAGGCCAGTAAAACTTGTCAAGAAAGGCTCTTGTTGAGTGATTGATATCAAGCTTCACGATGGTGTTACAGCAACACACTCCGACAACACGTGACTTGGCTTGATCCTACGCACAATGATCAACATGGTCCCAAACTTCATAAAATGAAGCTGGTCATTTTTCTTCACTTTCTTCTCTCACCTCTTTTTTTTTTTCAAGGGAACGCAAGAAGAAGAAGAAGGAGAAGAGAAGATGAGAGTGTTTATATTCGATAACAACAATCCCCCGTTTTCCCTCCAGGATTCTTTCCGGACCTACCTCTCGTCCTGTGACTGAGAGGCTGGGAGGACCGGAAAGATGAGGGCAGGTCATCGAAGGGGAGGGTTTAGGTTAAAAGCTGGTTCTGAATATCCACACTTTCTGTTTCCTCTCTATCTCCTCTTCTTCTCTTCTCCAATCTTCTCTTACGGATAGAACGAGAATCACGTGATTCTATTGATATTGGGAAATCTGTTCTTGTTCTCTCCCTTACTGAAGGAAATCTTTTTATAACTCGTCCGGATTCAGCTTGGGACTTGGGAGTTTTCTCTAGGCTTTCTGAATCTCGGAGAGACTTTTTTAATGCCTGTTTCTGTTTTTTCTATATATCTTCGGATATTATATATATATATATATATATATATATATATATCTTGGGTTGATATCTTTAGTGTTTTCTCTTCCTTCATTACTTTATTCTGGGCGGGCAAAACTTTTTTTAACTACGGATCTTAACGGCACTCATTTACCTCTAGAACGGATTACCAACGAATGGAATAGACGGGACTACTTTTCTGACCGGAATCTGACGCTTCTTCTCTCACGACACTCGTTCTGACTATGAAGTGTAAACGTGCGTGCGTGCGTGTGTGTGTGTGTATAGTTGAACTTGCTGGCTCATAATGTCGAACTGATGATGACAAAAGAATGATGACATGATACACGAGACACACTTGCAAGATCCGAGTCTGTAAATGATGCAATTGTCCTGTGAATGACTACTATGAGTGTCACCTGCTAGTCGAGGCCGGGATTGAAGATGATGTCCCGAGGATGCATGTTCCTAGGCAGAATCACAGATTACATTAATATACAATGTTAATTATTTTCTATCCCTGACTTGTTACGGTCCCTTGAAAAATTTCTCAGCATTCATGTTAATGTCCATCTCTGTCCCCCATTGAGCTGAATGCGAATGCGCCGTGCCTATCCCAATTACCCAACTACGGAGTAAATATTATATATATAATATTATAAGATCAATATCCGTAATATGTATGAACCAGGTCCAGGGGAAAGGGGGGGGGG